CCCATATGCCACAACATTTCCTCAAAATAGTTTCAATACTACAACCACACATAGCCCTTAGCTCAACAACACTGAGGACAACAACATCAACAACAATGATAATACAAGAGTATGACAAGTAAACCAACACAAGAACTTCAGAATACAAAGAAATGGAATAACAAGCTCACAAAGAAAGACACGATAAGAAATAATGGTCTCAACAAGAATAGCTCAACAAGGGAGAGATAATGTGTAACAATGATTCCACAAAGGTGCTACTCAATTGTAAGAGAGATAGAATGAATCAATGACCCCAAATAAGAATATGTCAATAATAAACGGGATAATAAAACATTAATTAAGGCTAAGCAATCACGGAAGAAATAATAATAATAACTTCAATTAAGGTTAAACAATTTCTAAAGAGACAATAATAACTTCAATCAAGGTTAAGCAATTTCGGAAGAGAAAATAATAACTTCAATTAAGGTTATGCAACTTCGGAAGAGATAATAATAACTTCAATTAAGGTTAAGCAAATTCAAAAAATATAGCATGTCAATAAAAGAGGCAACAACTTCAGTTAAGGCACATAAGAGTTTAATTGGCAATAAGGGTAGAACATGAACCAATTAATTCCAATTAAGACACGTAGGGGTGAATGCAATAAATGGAGGGTTTAACAAAAACAACTTCATATCTAATAAACATAAGAACCTAAGAGCCCTAAACGGTCAATTTCCATAATTGAGCCCGAACACGTACTCGTCACCTCACGTACACGGCCTTCACATGACACAATTAGCACAAATGACTCAAATCCTAAAGGGTAGTTTCCTCCCACAAAGTTAGGAAAGATAATTACCTAAAAGAAGCTAGACCAATACTCTAAATTGACCTTCTCGAGTGAAATAACCTCTGGACGGCTCAAATCTACCCAAAAGCTTCTATCTTTAACTAAAGCTAAAAAGTCAATCCAAAAGTCAACCCGCGGTCCCCGCATCTCGAAACCCGATAAAATTCATAAAATCGGAAAATTCATTCTGATACGAGTCCAACCATAAAAAAATTATTGAATTCCGATATCGAATCGCCCTTCAAATCCTCATTTTACATTTTTGAAAGTTTTTCTCAAAATCCTCATTTTCCCCATCTCAAACCACTAATCAAACGATAAAAATAAAGATAGAATCATGAAAAAAAATAAATTTCGGATAAAGAATACTTACCCCAATCAAACACGTGAAGAACCCCTTCAAAATCGCTCAAATCCGAGGTCTCTAGCTCAAAAGAAGAAAAAATGGAACAAAACCCTCGATTTTGGAAATTAATAGCTGCTGCCCAGGTACCATGCATCGCAGTCGCTGAAATACATATGCGATTGCGAAGTAGAAAATATCAGCTGCCAAGAATACACTTCGCGATCGCGAGAGAAGGGGTGCGATCGCAATGAAGAAATATCATTGCCCGAAAAAAGGCACTACACGAACAGGGAAGGTCAAATGCGAACGCGAAGTAGCAATACCCATACGCACGCGATTGCGAGTATAGTCGTGCGAACGCAAAGACGAAAAAGGTCCAGTCACAAAAATAGCCTTCGCGATCATGGCTGTACCTACGAGATCGCATAGAAGGACATCAGACACCAGCAAACAACATTTCAAAAGAGGAGGAAATGGCCCGTAGCCCATCCGAAACACACCCGAGACCCCCGGGACCCCGTCAAAACATACCAACAAGTTCCATAACATAATGTGGACCTGCTCGAGGTCTCAAATCACATCAAACAACGTCTAAATTACAAATCGCACCTCGAATCAAACTTATGAATTTCCAAATCTTCCAACTTCCAAAACTCGTGCCGAAACATATTAAATCAACCCGGAATGACGTCAGCATGCAAGTCTCAAATGACAAAATGGAGCTAATCCAACTCTCGAAATCGAATTTCGAGCCCGATATTAACAAAGTCAACTCCCGTTCAAACCTCTTAACCTTTCAAAACTTCAACTTTCAATTTTCGCCAAAATGCTTTATATTATCCTACAGACCTCCAAATCCAAATCCAGACGCACGCACGCCTAACTCCAAAATCACCTTACGAAGTTATTGGAGTTATCAAAACGCTATTTTGGAGTCGTCTACACAAAAGTCAAACTCCGGTCAGCTCTTACCGCTTAAGCTTCTAAAACAAGAATTATCCTTCTAGACCAATCCCGAAACATCCAAAAATCAAACTTGACCGCACACGCAAGCCATAATACACGATACTAAGCTATTCGAGTCCTAAGCCACCGAACAGGACACCGATTCTCACTACTAACAGTCGGGTCGTGGTTAAATAACGAGAAAGAAATATGTTTTTGAATTATAAAAGGACTCTAGTTCGATGATTGTGCTTTCAGACATTATTTAATATATTTGCAATGCTATTCATAGTGTAATTATCTTGTCAACTTCTGAAGATATAGCTGCTTCTTTTCCTTGCATTTGCAGTTAAAGAACAATCTCGAAAACAAAAGAGTTGCAAAGAAATATGTCACTCGAACCTATTCGTACTAGTGATCAGCTAAGTATTCTGCAAAGGATTGAAAATGAACATTTACATGACTTGATAAGTCCCAAGAAGGATAGCCTAAAAGCCATTAAAACAGAGCTATGGTTTTTGAGTACATTCAGAATCGAAAGAAGCGTCAAGCCCTGCAAAGAAACATCAAAACCTTGATAGAAAATCTAGGACTCTGCCGTCTTTATTATTTCATGTAGTGTAAAACATCATCCCTCCTGAGTTTGACTCCATCACATCTGTTGTGCTAGTAAGATTCGGTTTTCCAGGCCTGATATCAGAACTTATTATTCATATCCAGAAATTCCAATTTCCTGTCCGCTGACCTATCAGCGTGTGGCTGAATTCATAGGACGTTGTACAGAAGCTTAAGGATCTGCTGATTGTCCGTCTTAGTAAGCTGTCTGATGATTCAGTGAGCATATATTTTCAAGGATAAAACATTTTGAGCCACGGGTCCGTGAAATCTACATTGACGAGCTGGAAATTTTGAGGTTATCGGACACTCTTCCCATGTCCTCAATTGAAGATGCAGTTCGATTCTTGATACTCTTTTTGAAATTTTCCCTTGACTACGGTTCTAACAGAGACCCTTTCCCAGCAGCTCAACATGTTGAGAGCTATTCTCATTGAGTTGCCACTGATTAGCAACTTTCTCAATGATATGAGGATCACTTTCTTCAAGGAAATAGAGACTGTGGTCGTTGATGCTGCATTTGTCGTTTACTCATTGTATGACAGAAGCAAGGACAAGGAAGATCAGAACCAAGAACTACTTGTTTTAGCTGACAAGATTCACCGTGTCAAGACAGTGATTTACCTGGAGATCCGAGAGTGGGTACAGTCCTCTTCGCCTAAGAATGAGGCATTCGACTATTTCAACTTCCTTCTAGATAGCTTGAAGGCAGAGGTGGACCTACAGTATAGTTTGAAGGGTCACCGGCACCTTGAAACTTTGGCAAAAACTCTATATATACTTGCAAATGTCTTCAAAAAAATAGTCAGATATTAGCATAGGCCCCCGTACCAATCTTTATGAGCAGTGATAAATTTATATTGAATGTTATAGTGCCCCGCGACCACCGAATCCTGGGTCCACCTATGCTTGAAGGAGCTCTTTAGTAGCCATTCTGACTCACTTGCTTCTGTGAAGAACCAACTTGTAGTGGTACACAAGGAGCTTGGGTTTTTCCAACCTTATATCAAGGGTGTTGCAGAACAAGGCGATAGTAAGCATGATCTTCAAGATCTTGCTGCAGAAGTCATTGATAAGGCATACCAGATAGAGTATATAGTTGATTCTTGTGTCGTTTAAGATGTTCCTCTTACTTATCTTATAATGTGTCTCTTGGACATTGTAAAGGAGATTAAACTTATTAAAACGGAGTTGACCAAACCCGGTGAACATAAAGATGTAAATTGCTTCCCCTACTCTTGTGTCGAAGACACCTAGGTTTGATGAAGAACCTGTGGGTTTTCAGGATGTTATGCAAACTATAAGAGGTCAACTAGTTGGTAGGACACCGGGGCTAGATGTTGTCTCCATTGTTGGGATGCCTGGATTAGGCAAAACGACTTTAGCCCCAAGTGTTTGCAGAGATGAGTCGATTGTCTCTCATTTCAATTTCCAATGAATTGTTCAAGACAAATACATGGTTTGTACCAAAGCTACGGGTTTGAACCGTTCTAATCAGGACAAACTTGGTTGATGGAGCCCCTTATGCTCGCATGCTCGTTCTGTACTATTCAGGGAAGTCAGTGCAAATACATTCTCTTCAATGGAACATGCATCTGTCACTTTAACAGGTTCAAGTTTCTTAGGGTGTTGGATTTGGAGTTCGTTGTTGATTCTTTTCCTACCGAACTTTGCTGTTGAAACTGGTGAGAATTCTGTCCCATCTTCAATAGACAATCTATGGAATCTTGAAACATTTCTAGGTAGAGGAATCGGAGGACGAGTATTATTGCCTGATACTTTTTGGAAGCTGGTAAAGTTGAGACATGTACGCTTTAGTATTCCAGCTATAGGTCCGTCAAGATTAAACTTTCCAATGAATCTCAAGAAACTGACATTATGCAAATTTCCTTTGCCACTAGCTAGAATTTCAACCATTGCCAACCTTCTCACACTTGAGGTACCTAAACTGCAACAAGTTGACTTTGATTTGGATGAATGGGAAGTGAGAGATAATGAGTTCCCTCAGCTCAAATTCTTGGAACTTGAAAATCTTCAAACTCTCGAAATGGGAAGTGTCTGATGAAGCCTTTTCTTGCCTTGAGCAATTGGTTTTAGTTAGATGTTTATATCTCAAGGAAATCAGTTCTTGTTTCGAGGACTCGGGTAATATGCAATACATTGAGGTGAAGTCATGCAGTGAATCTATTGCCGACTCGGCCAGGGAAATCAGAGACGCGCGACTTGATAATGGACACAAATGTGATTTCAAAGTCTTCACTTAGCATTGGAGTAATGAAGCTGCAAGACTGCAGCCTTCTGTTCATTTCCAGTCAAACTAATGGTATAATCTTAAGCAAATGTGCAGTTGTTGCTGCTTTTTTGCTACTACGTTTCTCCACTTTAGGTTGTACTTTAATTTGTGGCCTGTTGCACTAGAAGTCTTGCAACTTTTTCTTTTTTCATTTATAAGTAATGTCCTTACTTTCTTTTGATGTATGGTTTGGTGGAACATTGTTGATATAGATTGACGATGTTTGATGGCACTTCTTTTTACAATTTGTGATGTTCCTTTTTCTTGTTATGTTTAGGTTGTTTGGACAATGTTATTATTCCATAGCTCATTGTATTTTAATACTTTTATCTTGATTATATGAATGTTTTTTTTTTTTTGGTAAATAAATTTTTTTTACCAATCAAAAATATGTACACAAGAAAAAAGAAACAAACTGGCTGTTGGACATGATGCCCCAACATCAGGATCTACAAAGCCAACAATATTATCTCACAACTACACCATGGCTAACTACTACAACCACAAAGTTAAGGATAGAAATTTAATTGATCAAGTTTCCTAGCTAATCTTGCATGCATTGTTCCTCTACAACATATCTCTTGGATAATCTGTTTCATAATATGCTTCGAATCTGACTGCATACCTTGGAATACCCGTTGGTTTCTTTCTTTCCAAATGTAGTACACACTCGCTGCAAGAGCCATTCTGTATATCTCTGCCTCGACTCTTCTTCCTCTTGCATAAACTTCAGCCCACTTTAGTTCCTCTTGCCAATCCATTACCATTCTGCTTATCCCTTGCCAAGCTAGGACCTTTTTCCAGATATAGGAAGACATATCACATTGTAAGAACAAGTGTGAAATACTTTCATTCCCAGTATTACAGAGTGGACAAGCCAATGGAACCTCCATTCCCCATTATATTAGTCTATCTCTAGTAAGCAATTTTCCATGTGCCACAAGTCTTAATATGAATATCCATTTGGGAGCTCCTAGGTTATTACACGCTAACTTCCTCCATGAAACCTTGGTAAAAACACCTCTCATTTTAATGTACAACTTCCATAGAGAAGTTTGACAGTGATTGAAACTCATCAGCATTTATTCCTGCTAGTTCAACATAGGTTTTGGCTTTTAAGATTTTTTGCACTACCCAGGATGCTTGTTTTGGTGCAACCTCCCATACTTGCATTTCCTTTATATAATAGTTATGTACCCACTTGACTCATAGTCTATCCTTCTTGCTACACAAATTCCATAATAGTTTGCATATGCAGCTTTGTTCCAGCTGCAAATATCAAGGATATTCATACCTCCTACTACCTGAGGATAGCAAACTCTATCTCATGCAAGCAAAGCCCTCTTTGATAGTTCAACTCCTCCGGTCCATAAGAATTTTCTACATGTTGCCTCAATTAGCTTAACTACCTTTGCAGGTAATACAAATATCTGTGACCAAAATACTTGGACCGAAAAGAGAACATTCTTTATCAGCTGGACTCTTCCTACATAAGAGAGGAATTTCGCTGTCCAACTTTGAATTTTTCCCATCATCTTTTCCAGCAAAGGTTGGCATTGAAGCACTAAGAGCCTCTTGGTGCTCAGGAGAACACCAAGATATCTTATTGGTAACACTCCTTTAGTGAACCCCGTTAACTCAATGATTTGCTGTTGAACTGTTGCATCTATACCTCCAAAATAAATGGAGCTTTTGTCTCTATTAGCACTTAGTCCAGAAGTTGTTGAGAACTCCTGAAAACAATCAAATAGCATTTGAATAGACTTCACATCGCCCCTGCAAAATACTAGTAAGTCATCAGCAAATTCCAGTTGTATAACGTTCATCTTCTCACACTTTGGATGATAGTTAAAGTCAGGTTCATTCCCCAGACTCTTTAGCGCTCTACTGAAATATATATATTCCATCACTAGAACAAATAGAAATGGGGACATTGGGTCCCCCTGCCTTAACCCTTAGGCTCTGTTGGTTGCCCATTGAAAAGAATAGAGTAGGATACAGTTTTCAAGCATTCCATGATCCACTGAATAAATTGAGTAGGAAAGTTCAGTCCAACCAAAACTTGTTCTATGAATATCCACTCTACAGAGTCATATGCCTTTTGCATGTCCACTTTCAGCATACATCTCCACCCTTCTTACCATATCCTTTCACCAGTTCATGGCTAAGGATTATTTTATCACTGATTAGTCTCCCAGGAACAAAAGCTGACTGACTTCTGTCCACCAAAGTATCCATCACCTCTTGCGTTCTCTTTGTAAGAATTTTTGACATAATCTTATATATCACCGAACAACAGGAGATTGGCCTGTATTGTTTTACTGAAGAAGGGTTCTTGACTTTTGGTATTAAAGTAACAGAAGTACAATTAACTGGTTTGTACATAACTCCAGTCTCAAAAAAATTAAGTATAGCATCTACTACCTCATTACCAATCACAGGCCAAGCTTTTTTGAAAAAGTATGCATTGAAACCATCCACTCCTGGTGCTTTCATATCATTAATGTCCTTAACAGCCATGTAAACTTCCTCTCTTGTGATAGGATTAATCAGTTGGAGTTGTTGGCTTCTATTCAATTTAGGACCATTTGAAAAAAATGAGAGTTTTACTGCAGGCAATTGGGGTGCTGCTGTGCCAAGAATCTGTTTGCAAAATTTCAGGACCTCTTCCTTGATATCATCTTCTGCTTGTAACATTACTCCATCTACTGTTACTAATGTTTTGAGCTGATTAATAGCACTTCTGTTTTTCATACAAGCAAAAAATTAGGCATTATTAGAGTCCTCAAGCTTTAACCATTTCACCCTTGACTTCTGCTGAGCTATCATCTCGTCAATTTTCACCCATTTCTCTAAATCCATCTTTAGTGATTTTTCCCTATCAAACAAAGCAGGCTCATGCCTAGGACGTCTCATTTGTTCTTGAGCCTTTTGTAAGTTGCTTCTGATGGTACTAATCCTCATATCTGTTACATTATACTCTTCCTTGTTATGAAGTTTCATTTCAGTCTTCACATTCTTTAGCATTTGCCATATGCTTTTCAGGAAAACCCCGCTCACTGGTTTCCTCCAACCTTTTGCTACCTTATCCAGAAATTCTTGATTTTCAGTTAAATGGTTCAAAAATTTAAAAGGTCTAGCACTTCTTCCTAGATTATTATCAAAGGTAATACATAAGAGAGAGTGGTCTGAGAACCCAGGATCAAGTACTGTCACTTCTAGATGAGGTAGTCTTATCATCCAATCCCCATTTAACACTGCTCTATCAATTTTTTTGTATATGTGGTTGTTGGTCCGTATGTATTTTCTTCCCACAGTCTTCAGTTCAGTCAATCCTGTTTCAAATAAAAAATTAGTAAAATCTCTAGTTTCCTGTTCTTGAATCTCTGCACCATTTAGTCTGTTATCCACATGAATTACTACATTATAATCACCCATTAAAAGCCACCGTCCTTGCTGTAAATTTTCTAGTTCTTTTAGATCTATCCACAAATTCCTTCTGTCACCCACACTGTGCAGTCCATAGATTGCAGTGAAGTAGAAGTCAATAGTCTGATATTTAACTTGTCCATGGATATATTGATTTTCCACTTTGATAGTGGCATAATCTATAGTATTATGATCTCATAGAATCCAGATCCTCCCTCTATCTGAATTATAATTGGCATGCCAACTCTAACTAGGAACTATCTTCTTTATTATTTTCTCCGCATTCTGCTCCATCACTCTATGCTCCACTATAGCTATTATTTTTACTCTATTACTATGTATAAACACTTTAATCTCATTTTGTTTGTACAACTTATTCAAGCCCCTGACATTCCAAGTGATCAAACTCATTTAGAAATAGGAGGTGGTGCAGGACTCTTCACTCCTCCACTCTGGCTACTTTGTCCTCTATCCTTTGTGTTTTCAGGATCATTCTGCATAGGACACCCTTTTTCCGTTAATGTACTAAATCCATTAGTAACCTTAAGCAGCTCTTGCCCAATATTTGGACTTTGACCATGCTTTGTTGTATTCTTGCCCACTGCCATATGCCAATTATTTTCTTGCTCTATTGTCTTCACTGTAGGTAATGCTTCTTTATCTTTTTGTGTCACCGTTGGATTGTCAACAACCCATTGAGGTACAACCTGATTGTTAGCTTTAGCATGCCACACTTGTATCTGTTTCTTAGGTTTCTCCCTCTCCTGCTGTGTGTGCATTTTCTGAATATTTGCATTTGGACATACATGTCCAATTTGTAAACATTTATTGCAGTATTCAGGCTGCCAATCATACCAAATTTCCTGATCAAAGACTTCCCCACTTGGATCCTTCACTTTGATAGATTGGGGGAGAGGCTTGGTCACATCCATCTGAATCAAAACTCTAGCAAAAGAAATTCTCTCTATCTTAGAAGTACACTCGTCAGCATATATAGGATTTCCCAATACACTACTGATTCGACTAAGCGGCTCCATGCACCAACAGTTTAGAGGTAAGTTTGGGAACTTGACCCACAATGGTATTGTACTCAAAATTTCATCATTAAAATCAAAATTAGCCTCCCAAGCCTTGATTATTATTGGTCTGTTGTTTAAAGTGTGTGGTCCAGAAAAAATTACCTCATTCCTATCTTCCATTGTATTGAATTTGATAACAAAGTAGCCCTCGTTGTGGTAGTACATCTTAGGTTTTGCCACAAAATTCCATTGAGCTTTGATGAATCTTTCTAAAGCTCCTATAGTAGGAGAGTCTCCCACCACATAAAGGATCACTGATGTCGTCCACTACTCCGTCTCCTTATCTACATCTTCCTTCCTCAATCCTACAATCTTTTCACCATCCTCAATAAGAGGAGCTATATATTTTAGATTCATACCCCTAGCAGCCAACCTATTGCTGGCGAATAGATTTGCCCACTTCTGCTCCTTTTCCTCTGTAGTTTGCATCACCAGTTTTCGATTAGCAACTGTATTCTCATTCAATTGACGGGCCTCCTGTTCCTTCTCATTGCTCTTCCTTAGATTCATAGAACTAGTAGTTGTAGAATTAGGGACTGAAATTTGCTAATCCAGACTCTGATTATATGAATGTTGTTATACTTGTATCAGTAGTTCTTATGTAAAAAAAAAAAAAAAAAAAAAAAAAAAAAAAAAAAAAAAAAAAAAAAAAAAAAAAAAAAAAAAAATCAGTTTTGTTTCCCCTAAATTTTCTAGGATCCAATCTCATTTGTTCGCATATGAGTTCTTGGCTTTATATATTATCACTTGCCGGATGGAATTTATGTCCCTTTCTCCAGTGGAGAAATTGTTAAAGATAGCCAAGAAACAATGCTTTCTCATTTCAACACTTTGACATTTTTGTGTCTTTTCTTGCTTTAATTTATTGATGTATATACTAATTATGGAATTATCCAAGCTCTCATTCGATATGTCCAAGCCAATTGCTAAAAATGCTGGATTTATGACATTATTGGTAGAGTTTGACTTCACAATTTTACAATTATCAAGATAAGGAAAAAAGAAGTTATGAAAAAAGATTAGAGCTAACACGGGTTACATGTTTTGCCGAAGAACAAGAACGAAGACAAAAAACGTAGTGTCTCTCTAGCAATCTCCGCCATAATTGACCTCGTAAAAATTTTCAAGTGAATTGCTAGGTCGTAGTCGTAGCCGTAGCCGACACTCATTCTTATTCTGGTTTTTTCCAGTTCTAAATTCATGAAATTGTTAATGCATATTATCAGCTGATTTGAAGATAATTTATATCATCAAGTTTGCTGGTGAGAGGGAGTCCATGTAAAAGTTTGCGGTATCATGCAGAAGAAAGTTTGTACTCAGAATACCTATACAACCCTCCATGTCTTTGAAAAACTCTAGCTCTTTAAAGTCGTAACAGAAAATAGGAGATTTAGGTGAGAGACTTTGAACATATTAAGAACAGAAAGTAACTGCCGAAACCTGAGGATAATTCATTCTTCTTGCAAAAGCACATCATGCTTTTATTCGTATGACAAATGAACCTGTAACATCAGTAAGCACATCCGTAAGAGCAAATCCTACATGCAACAGGAACATGTGGGAAAAAATGGGTTTTCAGCAAGTTTAATTTTTAAAAAGGTAAAGATAATGGAGATTTTCTTTATGTAAAGAAAATATTCCCTTTTCGGAGATAGTAGGATGGATTTGTGAAATAAAGTAATAACTCTATCATAGACACTGGCTTGGTGTGATATTTCAATAAAAAGAAAGGGTATATATACTAGTTTAACACAGACAAATACCTAGTGAACAGACTTAAATCTACCTCGTAATTTATCTATCACCATCCAGTCTTCAATTAAGGCTTTTTCCCAAATGGCCAGGACGGTGATGTAAAAAAGGCCTTGAGACATCTTTATCCAATTAATAACAAAAGTATGACCTTTAAAAGTCTCTTGAACTTTGAGTTCTCGTAATGCCCAAAATGTGTGCTTGTAGGCAAAAGTAAACAATTGCAAAATCACCAATCAGAGGATTTATTGCCCCACCCACTTTTCCAAATGGACAGGGAAATTGTACAAATGGAGCTCTTAGTTTCCTCTTCATTTTAGAGAATTAGCAAGATAAAACCCAAAATGGAAAGACTTACAGGCAGGAAGATTAGATATATCTGCAGAAACTGCACAAGGAATTCCAAGGTTTGAAAGTGCTCCCCTAATGATTCCACATGGGAAATAGAGATGCATTCCTATGGCTTGTGCTGCTTTGTTTTCAGCCATGGCTGAAGGGTCTTGAATAGAACCAAGAGTTTCAATAGAAGGATCAACTGACATCCGTGACAGCCAACGAAAACGATTGTCTTGCAACACAAAGGTTCCCTAACAGGAGCAGTAGTTAGAAATCAATGTTGCTTAAGCAGAAATGGCACAAACTCTCTTAACTTATTCTGTGATTGATGAGGAGCCTCAAACTTACTCTGTGATTTGTCTTCAGGTTGTCTATTTGCTTCTTGAAGACCTCAGACCAGAAGTCCTTGCATATGAATTTGATAGCCTCTAAATGATCAGTGAACCGGGGCCTATCCATAGTATACCTGACAAAAAAATTATATCAAGGTCAGTCGGAAAGTGAAACATGAAAGCTAGGATATGATGCAACTTAGGAATAATTATTTTCATAAAAGGATCCAACTTAGTAGCAGTGTATAGTCATACTGAGATCAAGATAGGAGTGATAGATATTCTCAACTTAAAATCACATTCCAGTAGAAAATTCAACACAATCCGGAGACTACATTACACTTCACACTAGAACTCAGTGCAAGAACGGACTCAGGAGTTGCAACTTGGTGGCAAGCCAAAGTCTGTAAACCCAATGAAAGCAAAAGAAATGACAAATATGAAAGATGGAGCCTAGAATTTCAGCCTACCAAGTTATGTATGCTTACATCATTGCTGATCTTAATCCCTGATACAAAAGATAGTTTCACACAACACTATCAAACGAACTGATGTAGCACCAGCAGGAAGAAGAGAAAAAAGGAAAAGAATTGAGAGAAATAGGAAAATGAGAAAGAAAGAAAGAAAGAGATCAATTCATCAAACATTATTCAATTCAAGTGTGTCAATGCAAACGGGTCTTGTTCATAGAGTGGAGAACCCTCAAGCTAGATCTTGGAAGTTGGAACAGCAAAAGGTTATCTCTAATTAAAACTTAAAGACAAAATCATATATAAAGACAAATCTAAGGTACAATTACGAGGATAGGTTCTAATCTAAATAATGATAGGTCAATATCCAACTAAACAGATGCAAACATAATCTAAAATCTTGGTGTAAGCACATCTACCAGCCTAGTGGGCTGGATTACCTTGGCAATCTGTGTTAGTGGGCTAGACATGTTGCCCGGTTCATAAGTCGATATGAGCACAATCTAGCCCGAAGGTTATTGGTATAAGAGATACCCTAAAATCTGATACAAAAACAAAAATCTAGAACACGTATAATTGTTCTTTTTCTTTAATCATAAAATCTTCCATAGCTACATCCCCAAGCATCCTAGCTCAGTGATTGAGGCAAAGGAGTTACAACTAGGAGATTACTTGTTTGAATCCGAGCTACAAAACTTGGTGTCACCTCATCTCCTCTAACCTTGATGAGCAGGTTACCCAGACAACTTGTGCTTGTGAGTTGGACAGGCTACCTAGGGATTAATAGAGATTAGCCCAAGATGGTTGTACACCGCCAATATTGAAGTTAAAGTGCCTAAGGACAAGGGCAGCTAACACTAATCCTTCATATCTGAGAAATCTCTAGCAGCCTTTGCAGTCCATTGAAGACACTTTCATGCTATCAGCACTAGAAGCCATGAAGATACTAAATTTCTTAATGAACCAAAGACTTTTCCTATCATGCTGATACTAGTCCTTCACATCCGAGATAAAATAGCTGCTTGCTTATCATTATTTTTTGTATGAACCAAGAGAAAAAGGTGAAGTAACACACCAAGAGAATGAGTGTGCTTGCTATTTGTAGTAGTACCTTAAAAACCAACATCTAAGCAAAAGCATATAGAAAGAACAGAACTTATTAATGTAAAAACTACTCAAGTGGAACTCTTTTTGTCCTTTCTTTGTGCACGAAAAGGTCTCCTTGTCTAGGAACAAGTTCCTTTCTCATTTTTTCAGAACAAGAAAAGAAAAATTTAGCTGACCACCTATACAAAATCACAAAGTATAAAATGAAAAAACAAGTGCAATGAGGGGGAAGTCAAATACCCATTATAGTAGTCTATCAGAACCCTAGTAATGTCTCCAATTTTCATAATTAATCAAAATTGAGAGTGATGTATGAAAGATCAAGTCTCCCTATTGCAGTATTTGCTTGAAATTTGTGAATGGCGGATTGATTATTTGTAGATTGATGGGTATCCTTATAACTGATAAGCTATTAATAGGCACAACAGTTTGTTCAGGAATCAAAACCGTGAACTCTAATATCAAGATTGACGTAGAACCAGAAAGGAAATGCATAGAGAATGATAGGAGAATGACACCGAAGAATAAGAGAGAAAGAGAGAGGGATCAATCCGTTAAATATTATCCATCAAATCAAGTGTGCCAAAAATAATGCTTATAGGACCGGGAGCGCTGCACAAGCTAAATGCCTAACGGTATGAAAGCTTTATCTCTAATTAAGAGATAAAGTTAAAAGCAAGGAACAATGACAAAAATAGGATCTAATCTAGGGAAAGATATACAGAATCTAAAAAAGATACAAAAATAATCCAAATCTAAAAGATAAACACAGAAATCGAGAAGAAAACTTCTACCAAATTCATTTTCTACTACTATAAGCTCTTCCAAATCTCTTAGGAGTTGCATCACAAATTAGTGCTACAAATTAATGATTGGTAGCAAGGTGATAGCGATTAAATAAGACGCAAAAATAGAAAAAGAAAAGCAAGAAGGTGATTTAAACGGTCTAGAATATGGAATAAATCATCAAGAAATCTAGAAAAGGAAAATTATGACAAACCGACATAAAAAAGTGAATTTGTTCGAGGTGATAGAATACTTGGGAATACCTTTAGGGGCTAGGTACAAGGCAAAGCAGGTGTGGCAAAATATTGAAGAGAGATGTGAAAAAAGGCTTGCTATGTGGAAAAGACAATACTTATCTATAGGGGGCAGGATGGTGCTCATCAATAGTGTTCTTGATTCTCTCCCTACATATCTAATGTCCTTATTTCTAATGCCAATTAGTGTAAAGAAAACCCTGGACAGGATCAGGAGGAATTTTTGTGGGGAGGTAATAGAGAAAAGCAAGCTTTTCACCTGGTGAAGTGGGACAAGGTGATGTTGGATAGAAAAAGAGGTGGACTTGGCAGCAGAAATTTGTAGGCACACAACAATAGTTTACTAATGAAGTGTCTTTGGAGGTATGGAAAAGAAGATGGGAGCTTATAGAGAGGGTTATATTTAATAAATAAGGGGAACAAGACATCTGGTTCACAGGTCCTGTTAATTTTTCCCATGGTATAGGTCTATGGAAGCACATATACACCTTGTGGTAAACCTTTGTTGTCAACAAAAAGTTAAAGGTTGGTATTGGCAGACACACAAGGTTTTGGCAAGATGCTTGGATAGGACATGCCCTCTAATAACTCAATATCCTGATCTTCATTGGATTGTTTTGAATTCTAATATTTCAGTTTCTAATTGCTGGAATGTGAACAATTGGTTCTTAGCTTTTCATAGAAATTGCTTTGATTGGGAAGTTCCTAGATTGGCTTTACTGTTGAATGATTTAGACAAGATGGCTCTAAATGTAGAAGCTCCAAACACTATTGTATGGACAAGGCAGACAAATGGACAATACTCTGTTAATTCATGCTATAGGGAACTCAACAAGGAAGGAGGCAGCAATGAAACTTGGTCTTGGAAGAAGCTATAGACGATGAAAGCACCCTATACAATCAAATTGTTTTTTGTGGCTGGTGGCACATGACGCGTGTCTCACTCAAGGCAGCCTTCAGAAAAGATTTTTTTGAATATGTACCAGGTGCTGATTATGCAACAGTGCAGAGGAAACCAGCAGTCATCTTTTCTTGCAATGCACTGTGACAACACAGATTTGGTCTTTATCTTTTAACAATCTCCGGGGTCCTTTATGTAATACCTTATACAGTGAAAGATCGGTTAATCAGCTGGGGTATTAGAATTTAGATACTTGAAAATGTCATAACTCTTGCAAACTATCTCAAAGTAATTTGAAGAATTTTATTCCCAAAAAGCACATCCAAAAGTAGTACTAGTAAATACACATGATGTATGCATAGAAATCTATAGGGAGATTATTGTTCCCTTGAATCTTCAGTAAATTCACAAAAAATAATTTAGTAATAGGAAGTTGGTCACCTCTCGGAAAGTTGGTGGCCGACCTGAAAACCGATGGCTTCGATGCGTCGGGCGGCAAGCTCAGGTTTGTCAGCATAGAAGCCATTGCAGTAGGAAGACACGATCTCTGTCAGTAAACTCTCCACACAGCTCTCTGATACTTCCCTAACCATTTCTATCTCCTCTTCAGACAAACTGCAAGTGGTTTTCCAAAGGTTAAAAAGTATTCCTAATAAAATGCTGATTTTCAATGTGAAGTCTCAATATAACTATTTCTAACACTAACGGACACAATTGAATTTACGTCTTTACACGTTCAGTTGCAGCCTTTTTGAGGCTCTCACTTCTCTGACCAACTGGTCACTTCATTCCGCCCAATTTACCATTTGCTTATAACCAAATAAAATCAAACTACTAGTACTATTTTTATATATTTATATTTCAGTTGACTTTTCATGTATTAGAGAACAAATAATTCTTTGGATTTTCATATATCACATAGATCAAATTGAAATTAACAGATCTGAACCAAATCATCCACGAGTACACAGCACACAAAGGAATAGCAACAGTAAAGCAATAAGAAAACGGGGAAAAAATCGATGAAGTAAATAAGAAAGAGAAGAAGATCGTACCTTGAAAAAAATTGTTGGGAATCAAACGAGAGAGAGAGAGAGACCGCTTCTTAGAAAAGGAAAGCAGGAGAAATAGAGAGGACAATGAGCCCGTTTGGCTTAGCTGATTTAAGCATTAGGGGTTGACAAACACTTTTAAGTGACAAAGTTATTTAAAAAATAAGCAGTTACGTGTTTGAATAAAAATGCTGAAATTAATAATATGCAGCTAAAGAACCGGGTGTACGAAGAGTTTTGTCTTAAAAAGAAGTATTTTAGGGATAGAATAGTAAATATTTTGGTCAAACTTAAACTGCTTATAAGCTGAAATTTGATAAGTTGGGGGAGACCAACTTATGGTTTTTGGCTTATAAGCACTTGACTTATAAGCACTTTTAATTTTACCAAACGCGTAGATAAGCCAAAAAGTGCTTATAAGCCAGTTTGACGAGCTTATAAGCTTAGCCAAACACCCTCAATGAATAATAGTGCTGTCAAAATACTGAAATAGTTAAAACTTCGGGGATTTTTATTGTTTATTTTTCGCATATATACATGCGAAAAATAAACAATAAAAATCCCCAAAGTTTTTGTTATAAAATATTATTTTATAGTGGATGTCTATAACTACTAAAGAAATTACTCTCACTACTCTTCTTCATTAAGTAGATAACTCCCACTACTTCTTACCATTATAGTTGTAACTCCCACACCTCCATAACCTCCCCATGATCTTTCCCCATGATCTCTATAGTTAATACCATGTTTATAATATCCCTTTGTATACCTCAATGTCATCCTATAAATAGAGGGTTTGCACATCACATTGTACACACTTGAATACTTGAAAGAAATAGAATCTATCTTCTCTTTCTCTCTATATCTCTTATCTGTTTTCTTGTTTTATGTTATTATTTTTAGCTTAGTTTCTTAACACGTTATCAACACGAATTGCTCATTTCATGATCTTCTACGTCAAGATTATGTGAATTATAAGCAGACTATGAGATCAAGTACAATAAAAAAAATTATTGGATGATAATTTCAAAGATAAGTTTTTCATCCTTATAAACCCATTCATCCTTTCATATATTTGCATTAACTTTACGTGCAATATTTAGTTGAATTTTTTGAATTGTATCCAGCGATGAAATCAAGGAACCGGGAAGGTATGTCTTTAAATTATTTGCTACATCTCTTACCGGACAAGAATTCATTGTTCTAGAAAATGATGTTACGCTACTGTGCATGGACGTTGGAGTACCCATGATCTTTTGATAGAAATGTCCATTCTATTAAATTTATTCGACATACAATTGCACAGGTACTTGTTGTTATTCATATATAATCACAAAGTGGTATTATTTTTAAAGGCTTGCTGGTAAATCTCTAGGCACTTTGGCCTATTATGCAATTAACTGAGGGTAAGACGGTGGGTTCAAGTCCCAACGCACCACGAGAGCAAGACATCGGGTTTGAGTCCTGGTGCAACATGATAAGAGTTGGGTTCGAGTCCCAATGTTATAGCCTTACATGCCTTTATTTGGTAAGGCATTGGGTTTGAGTCCCAATGTACCATATTGATGATATAATGATCACTAAAGAAAAATATTGTATTTTTCATGAAAAAGCATGAAATTTGTCCCACTTGATTTGCTCCATTCTTGAAGTGAATGTGATAACGGTGCATAATAAGTCTAAATGTAGACAAGTGGTTGACCAATGAACGTGGGTGTGCCAAAGATCAAATAATAACAATCATCATTATGGTAATTGTAAAAAGGAGAACAATAAGGGTTCTCAAAATAATCCTTCAAAGGTGAAGGAAATGTATATCAATTTGGTCTGTAAAGATAAGGCACGTTCAGACGATTATAGTCCATTTTTTGAAAGAATGCGACTTGTGATAAGCAGACTCATTCCTCAAATGAGTGTGAAAATATATATGTGATACAAATTATGCACAAGAATATATTTATGCATGGTTGAATAAAGACTACAATTCACCTCTACGGGAGGTTTGAGAGAAAGAAAGATCATGAACATTACTATATGGTTACACGAATATGTCATTGGTCGTGCACATGTGGTAAGCCGAAAATATTTTGCCATGCCTTATAAAAAGTTATAAAAGGCAAAATTAAAGCAAGAAAAGATTTTGCTTATGATGATTTTGACCATGACAACTATTATGATAAGATAATTTTCTCTGTGGAAGAAAAATTCACCACTTGGATGGTGTTATAAAAGATCTTGTAATGCAAAATTATTGAGAGCTCCAGAAGAGCGAATTTGTTACTACCCGAATAAATAAAATTATTCATGGCATTGGTGGTAGTAAGTCTCAAAAGAAATTTTTTGAGTTTCAAATGTATTAGCCAAAGTGGTTGGCATATTGAGACTATAAATGAAAGGAAGATTGATTATATTCATATTACTATAACATACCGGGTAAATCTGAAAGGTTACCCGACTTTTCTTCTATTTGTACTACAGATGTATAAGCATGGTGATGGAACCACATGCCATAGTAAATTAAATATTTACTGAAACAAATATTAGTTGGCACGACCGGTTGGCCATCCCGGTTCAATTATAATGCGAAAATTAATTGAGAATTCACATTGGTATATATTGAAGAAATAGAAGATTCTTCAAGAATTCTCTTGTGCTGCTTATTCTCATGATATACCAGTCAAGGTTGGGATTAAATCCCTTAAATCTGGAACGAATAAAAGGTGATATATATATATGGGCCCAGTCACCTTCCATGTGGACCGTTTACTTATATATGATTTTAATAGATGCATTGTATGGTCACATGTGCGTTTGTTATCAACTTGCAGTTTGGATTTTGCAAGGTTGATTGCTCAAATTGTTGGAGCACAGTTCCAGAATATATATTATGATAATTTATCTTGATAATGCTGGTTTAAATCCAAGTTGGTTGGTTTAGCAGAAATTGTATGCCTCCAATTATAGCTAAAGCATTGGTTATGAGAACAAAATTCACAAATAGAAATTTGGTATGAGGTATATTATTTAATATACAAAAGCACTTGTACGCATCTAGACAACAAGTTATGATAAATTCTCCCCATCACAATTGGTTCACGGTCAGGAACCAAATATTCCCATCTAGAAATATGGATGTGCTATATGATTTAATTGTGCTGCTACAATGCACAAAGATGGGTTCCCAAAGAAGGTTGAAAAATGTGTTGGTGATCCCGACATTAGGGGGAGAAAATGGGCAGCTGAAAAAGTGATACGTGAAATGAATTATTATGATACATCTAGATCCTCGTACAAGAAAATATGAACTTGAAATTCAAGTGATAATTCATTTGCAAAATATTTTCAGGCACATTGCTGACCCAAAGCTAAATGTCATATTCCAGCTGCTAATGCTCCAAATAGAATAACGTCCATGATGGATAGAGTTTATGGCACGCATGAAGCGTAATAGATAAATCGGTTCCAAAGATAAAACTCCTTGAAGAAGGAGGGAGAAAATGTTCAAGATGGTCATAATAAGGAGGCAAGTGCTTTATAAGAGCACTGTAACGACCCGACCCATGGTATCAAGTATTACCACCCCGTTTTCCTCATTTATTGCTTCTTCATGTTTCATTATCAGCAACGAGTGAGTTAGAGTTGAATTGAATTGGTTTGGATAGGAAATGAGACACTTAGTCTCTTTAAGGAAGGCTTAAGTGGGAAAAGTCAACCGGATGTTGACTTATTAGTTAGAAGGCTCGGATGTAAATTCCGGTGATTCGGTTAACTTCGGGAGGTGATTTGTGGCTTAGGAGCGTGGTCGGAAGTGATTTTGGAGGTCCGGTGTAGAATTAGGCTTGAATTGGCGAAGTTAGTATTTTGGCGAAATCCGATTGATGGGTGAGAATTTGATCCGAGGGTCGGAATGGAATTCCGAGAGTTGCAGTAGCTTCGTTAGGTGATTTTGGATATGTCTACAAATCTTCAGGTCATTCGGACGTCGTTTGGTCGGGTTTTTGATCGAATGCGTAATCGGAAGTTTTTAAGAAACTTAGGCTTGAATTCGATGTGATTTGATGGTTTTAGCGTTGTTTGATGTGGTTTGATGATGGGAACAAGTTTGAATGAGGTTTTAGGATGTATTGGTGTTTTTAGTTGAGGTCCCGGGGGCCTCGGGGTGAATTCGGGTGGTTAAACGGAGAATTCGGAGTTTTGTTGCAGGTTTGAAGTTGCTGGTTCTGTCATTTCCGCATCTGCGGAAAAGGGACCGCATAAGCGGTTCCGCAGATGCGGCTAAGGGGTCGCAAAAGCGGTTCTGGGAGGCTTGGAACTCTTCCGCAAAAGCGGACAAGGGTCAGCACAAGCGGCAACCGCAGGTGCGGTTTAAGACCGCAGAAGCGGTCCCTGGGGATTTAAGTGAGATCGCAGAAGCGATCATTTGGTCGCGGATGCGGTGACCGCAGGTGCGGTAATTTAACCGCAGGAGCGGAAATCGACCTGGAATTAAAGTGAACAGTGTTCACGAATTTGAAAGAGAAGGAAAACTATTTTGGACTTCGACTTAGGCGGTTTCTTGGGCGATTTTGAAGAGAATTCGAAGGGGTTTCATCAGGTATGAATTATGGGACTCGGATTATGTTATTATGGTGTAAAAACATGGATTTATCACTGAAATTCAAGGGATCAAATGCTAATAATGGGTTAAGCTAGGGCTTGAAAAGCTAAGATGTAAAAACGGATTTTGAAAGGGCATTTGAACCCCGATTTTGGTAAATTTGATATGTATAGACTCGTGGCGAGACGAGGAGTCCGGTGATGTAAATTTCGTATTTTTCGAGAAGCGGGCCCGGGGCTCGGGTTTTGCCAACTTCGTAAATTTTGGTGTTTTCGAGTCTTTTCGATTGGGTTATGTTTCTTTAGCCTATTGTAATGAATTCGTTGTGGTTTTAATCAGATTCGGCGCGCGAAGAGGTTGATTCGAAAGGCAAAGGCATAGCGAGCTAGACTTGTGACCGGCTTGAGGTGAGTAATAGATGTAGATGATGACCTGAGGGTTTGAAACCCCGGTATATCACATTGTGACGCTATATTGAGGCGAGACACGTACTCTATGACGAGTGCGGGGTCG